CCACAAGGACTTGTTTAGGGCACCTCATGTTTCCCTGTATCCTCCTCCCCACACTATATCCTGTTTTCCTCCTCAACAACCCCCAAATCCTCACCTTTCCCTGCTCCCTTCTCTCCTTCCTACCTACCCATCCACCAACCTACCTGTCATAAACCCACCCTGGGTTTCATGTTTGCATGCATGTAAATGCATTCTTCTTCGGTGCCACCATCCCAAACTTAATCCAGCCTCCCACATTTACCAGTGGTTTGGAGAACATTGGTAAAGCTGCCTCTGGGCATGTACAAAGGGCAGAGTTTCCCAATTACTTCAGCCCTTGCCCTGTGTGCAAAGGTCAGGTGTGCAGGGAGGTATTTGAAACACAGTCTGTTGAGGAAAGACTTTATTACTACAAGTTATCAAACTAGAGCACAAGACGTGGGAAAATGACTATCATACCTAATAGATCTAGAAAAAGAATAGGAAAAATTGTATCTCTAAACTAACCTTAACATTTGTGGATGCTTGCAGAACAAATGCCTGTTCTGGCCCACCACCTGCTTGATGCGAGAGAACCTGTGTTGAATACGAGACTCGAGGCAGCAAGTGAACCGTGATAACAGCTTTATTCAACAAGTTAGAAGAAATCAGAAGGAGACAAACAACAGAGCAACAGGCTCCTTTTTAAACAGTCCGGACTTGGCAAGCCACGCCCCCATGTCAGATAACATCCAATCAGATATTGTAAATAAAGACCAATCAGTTTGCTTCCCTCCAGAACTTCCCTGGTTCTGATAGGTTGGTTTTCAATACCTTACATCAGACTCAAGCTCTATATACAAAAGATTCATACGTTCCATTCCATACATAACAACCAGATTCCTCATTTTTGAACAATGCACTGTTCAGACCTTTTAACCGTGCCCTAGATGGCTGGATATTCCCTACCTCGGGAAACTGAGCTGTTCCCAAGATCCTCCTGGTGAGCTTCAAAGTGTTGGAAATGAAAGACTTTGTGTGGTTTCTTAGCCTCAGATTTCAGAGGGGGTCCACAAGAGAGTCAGAGAGATAGGTAGGCCAGAACTCTGATCATCCTTCCCTTCTACTACTTTGATACTATCCCTTTGATGTAGATCACTACTCACAGGTAATCTTCCTTCCTTCCAGTTTGACATCTTCTTTCCTCACTGAGCCACTCTTCTCCATCTTGGCACCTTGAGGGCAGGACGTGCTTTCTGCATCTTCATCCATCCTAGCTGGTTAGACTAGATTAGAATCCTATCTCTACCCTATCCTGTCTAGAATGGAGTTCCTTACAATAAAGGACTCATATTAGTTTTGCAAAGATAAAGAGGCTCTGTGTATAACCAGGTAGACTCTGCTGCATTATGTGCCTTGAGTACCCTGCCAAACAAATAATCCTTCACAAAGCACCTTACATTTCTGGGTCCACTTCATTATTTGCTTCCTTCATACCCCACCTTTCTCTACAACTGGAATCCAAAGCAGCTTATTTCATTCTCCTTTCCTCCATTTTATCCTCATAACAACCCTGTGAGGTAAGTTAGGGTGATTTTGTGTGACTGGCCCAAGGTCACCCCATGAGCTTCCCATGTCTGAGAGGTGATTGGAACTTGGGTCTCTCAGATCCTAGTCTGAAACTCTAACTACTACTTCCATGGGGTGACAACTGTTGAACAGTAGTGAACAGCCAGTCCTGGTTGAACTGTGCAAGTATCAAGTCATCTAGTGCTGTCAAGTCAGGCCTGGCCCTGACGAGTCATCTCTCAAATGCCAAAACAGCCCTGGAAAGGGCTTTGCTCCCTCATTCTGCCTTTTACAAACAGAAACCAAAACTTGAAGGCTGTACTGTATGGTTGCCTAGCAACGGCCACTGAGAGCATTCATTTCTTAAAGCTACAAGTGTTGCTTCTTTTATTTTGGGGGAGGGAGTTAACCCCCAGTGTGTGTGTGTGTGTGTGTTTTAAGATTTCAGATTTTTCTGTGAACCTGGGGCATTTTTTAGGTTTGTAGAATGATCTGTCTTATCAGTTCATGACTCCAGTCTCTGGATTTAAATATCCACAAATTTAGTCACTGTGAGAATTAGATAGATTGATTATACCCAAAGAATTTGCTTATATCCAAATTTGCTTATATCCAAAGAATTTGCTCCCCAGGGATCCTAAACATACTTGCCTGGTGGATTTTTAAAACCACCAGTAACAATTTGCCAATCTTGTCGGCCAATAGACCTCAACTTCCATCCACAACACCTTTAATAGTTATGTAGAAGAGGGAACTTCATTACATGCAGCTGTTCTCTACCCAGTGTCCAAGGGCTGAGAAAAGTTATGTTTGCTAAAATTCTTTCTTCTACATGAGTTCTGTTTCACATGACTCTTTACTAGTTCCCTGGAGATCCTTGTGCTATGGTGGCAGCCGCTCGACTGCTTTCAAAAATCTGCTTAGCCAATCAAATCTCCAGTGGCCAATCAGAAACATTGCAGGGCAAAAGCCCCACCTGACCCTGCCCACTTTCTAAAAACACTTGGCTGGTGCCAGGAGAGGTGTTGGAGGGCACCATAGTGCCCACGGGGACCACATTGGGAACCCCTGCTCTATCTGCAGCACCACACCTGGCTATAGGGATGCCATCCCCCTGGTCGGGGCAGGAGTTCGTTCCCCTGATTCCGGGCGCTCCAACCTGCCGCTAGCCCTAAACAGCCCCCTTCCTTGTCGGCATCCCAGACTAGGGCAAAAAACCCACAGAGGGCAAAAAACCCCATAGAGTTTTGCCCAAAAACTAGAGCGTCACCCCCTGACAGTCGGAAACGCGATGACGTCACTGCAGAAGATCCCAGGAGGGGCCCGGAGACTCCCCTGCTCAGCCAAAGGTAGGGCATGGCAAGCCTACCTAGCTCTTGGCATATATAATCCCTTCAGCGTTTCCATTGGGAGGCACTGGACTTTCCAAAGAGCTCAAGAAACTCATAAAATGAGATGTTTCTTTCATGCATGGGTTTTTAGGAGGGTAGTTGGTCGTATGCAGTTTCTGTCAAGAGCTCTCTCAGCCCCACCTACCTCACAGGGTGTCTGTTGTGGGGAGGGCAAGGGGAAGGAGTTTGTAAGCCGCTCTGAGACTCCTTTGGGTAGTGAAGGGCGGGGAATAAATCCAATCTCTTCTCTTCTCTAGCATAGTCAAGAGGTAGACAATGTTCCTGAGGATTGTTGCTTAAGAGTTTGCAGAATGGGGGATTCACTTGTACTATTAAAGAAGTTTCTATCCCGCACCCACTGCTGGAATGCATATGTGGAAAAGAGTGGCTTTAAAAGGTGGTTTTAATTGTACCTTTTTGTGTGTGCATTTTTATTTATTTTTTATTTATTTATCAAACTTATACCGCACCCCCCAGCCATGTCCGGCTTAGGGCGGCTTAAAGACGAATTAAAAACAGCAATAGATAACATAATGTTCATAAAACCATAAAACCATTACAACATTAAATTACAAAAATTAAAACATTTGTGTGTGCCCGTGTCTGGAAGTCATGGTGACCTCTGGTGACTCCTACTGGGGCATGGAGCACATTCAGAGAAATGGCTTGATAGCCTGCCTCTGCCTCCCGGCCCTGATACTCTTTGGCGGTCTCCCATCCAAGGACTTGCCAGGGTTGGCCCTGCTTAGATTCCGAGATCTGATGAGATCAGGCTTGCCTGGGCTGTCCAGGTCAGGGCATACCTTTATCATTTTTTTAAAAAAGCACATTTAAAAAAAAAAACCCTATTCCTGTGCTTTACATTGCTCCTCAGAGTCTTTTTATCAGGTTTCTGAAGAAAATCCTTAACAACATTTTAATTGTAAATCATGTTGAGAAATCATTTCTTTGCTATCTGATGGAAATAAAATGCTTAACACACAAGATTATTACAATCCTAAAGATGGTCTCCTGGGAATAAGTCCCAATGAATAACATGAGAAACTTCTGAGTAGACCTGCCTAGGCCTGCTGCAACTGTTTACCTTTGCAGCCAAATCTTGCAAGATGTGGTTTATTGATCTGGGGTCATCTACAGCCAACTGTACAATTTGTGTACAATTTTTAAATGCTGTATCCTGCCATTGGGATGCAGAAACAGGCAATAAAAATGATCAAGGTCTTGGAATGCATCAATTACAAGAAAAGATAAGTGTTTGGGGATGTTTTTCTTTATTCAAAAAAACACAAGGAGAGCACAATAGAGATTTATAAAATTAAGCCTGGTGGGGTGAAAGCTGACAGAACTTTTTCTCCCTTTACCATCATTTGTTGTTGTTGTTCAGTCGCACAGTCGAGTCCGACTCTTCGCGACCCCATGGATCATCATACACCCAATTAAATGGATGGACAGTAGATCCTGGAAAGGCACAAAAAAAGTACTACTTTTGCAGATCGTCTAATGATCGAAGCTTCTTAAAAGCAGATTAAACAAATTCAAGGACAGACTATTAACGGTTATTAGCAGGCAATTGACAGGTGAATAACAGGTGAATAACAATAGCAAGCATGGCTAGATTTAGGTAAGACATGAAGCAGGATAATCGGTGTGGTTCCTAATGGCAGAATGCTTTCTTCAAATTAAAAAGAAAAACCCACAAAACTAAACCGAACATAATTTGTAACCACCAAATGTACTACATTCACGTTTGCAGGCGAGAGAGGGAGAAATGTTAAAACAAGTCTGAAGGGCGGAAATGCCCTAATCTGAACTGAGCCTGGGAACTCCTGCACTGATTTCAGAACAGCCCCAACCACCTTCCTCCCCTTATCTGTCCCGTCAGCCAGCAATGTCACCACTGATTGCTTGCTATAGGGCATGACGGGAATTGAAGTTCTTCATCATGCCGGCGCCCAGGAAAGCTAGGCCACTGTTTCCCCTGTACTAAAACTACATTTCCCATCATGTCTTTCGCTGCAACGAAGCCGACGACTAAAGCCATGTCCGGGTGACTGGAGGCTAACCCCCTCCCCCGCCCCTTATTGAGGCGGCTTTGCGCGGCGGTGCAGTCAGGGAGGGGGAGAAACCACTTTATTGCTTGAGGAGGGGGGAGCCTCGGCTTCTCCCCCTCCTGCTCGGGGAGCCATGGAGCTGCCAATGCCCGGGCGCTGGGCTGGGATGAGCTAGCTCGGGGCTCCCCAGCTGGAGCGTGCTTTCCCCTGGGGTCCCCCCTCCCGATCCCCGGGGCTTGATTTTCCCCACCCCCCCCTTTATTTTCCTCGATCGTTAACCCTTCAGCTCCCCCGTCCCCTCAACCCTTTCCCTTCGGAACTCCCTGCCTCTTGATGGTTTGCTCGAAGCCTTTGGAAAGGGAGGGGAACGCCGTCTCCGTCGCTCCCCGTCTCTCCGTGCAGCCTCTCCCAGTCTCCCGCGACGGCTGAAGCCCTTTGCTTTATTGCAGTAAAAAGGGAAGCAAGAAAATCTGCTCTCTTCATTCCCTCGGCTCCCCTGCGGCGGATGAGGGATGTTGCCGCCGCTTTGCCCTTCCTCCTCTTCGCGGATCCTTCAGTGCAGCGGCGAAGACCAAAAGAGCCCCGGCTTCTGACCGCGAAGATGTGGCAAAGCGTCGGCTTGACCCTGCTGGTGATCGTGGCCACGCTGGTGTGCGTCTTGCTCTTCATGCTTTGCGGTAAGGGTGCCCGGCTGCAGGGCCGAGCATTGCGCCTGCACATGGCTGGCTTTTTATTACACACACACCCTCCCCTTTCCTGCGCTGTAAGGTCCATAGCTCTGCGCCCTCACAGATCGCCCCATCTTTCACCACCTCTGCCCTCAATTATTTTGTAGCTTTCCCAACAGAACCCCTGGGAGCTTTTTTTTTTGGGAGGGGGGGGTCCGCGGTTTGTTTATGCACGCCCCTTCGATGTCTGAGCTGTGCGGTGTGCGAGGGACGAATCCTCAGACCAGATGTCCCATCAGTCAATGGAGAGGCTTTAAACTTGTTGCTTTTAAAAGTTGCTTTGGGGAAAATGGCTATGAGAGGAAGACTTTGGGTTCACGAGGATGTGCTTTGCGGGATGAGGAAGCGGGTCTGGAGGGGGAGGCATTGGGTTAAATTCTGCTCCCACCCCGTCTGCAAAACTGAACAGTTCTCGATGGGCAACGACAAGCACACAGGAGGGATGATGACCAAAAGGGTTTCTTCGTTTAGGCAGGATTAATAGCGAACAAATTCTTTCCCAATTGGCTTTCACTTTCCATTTGCAAAAAAAAAAGTCGGTGCTGATCAGTGTTCCCTCTAAGCTGATTTAGTGTGAGCTAGCTCACAATATTGTAGCCTGCAGCTCACAGACTTTTGTCTTTGCTCAGGAAGGCTGGCTCCAGAGCAAACTGATTTATGCAGTAGCCAAATCGCTGGCTCACAACTTTAAAGTCAGTAACTCACAAAGCAGAATTTTTGCTCACAAAATTCCACAACTTAAAGGGAACATTGGTCTGGATACAAGGCAAGTCCAATGCACATGGCAAAAAGTTGCTTGTCAAAGCACCTGAAGATGTCTCATACTGAATCAGACTCATTAAAGAATTCTCTGGCTGGGAGTTCAACTAGCTGAAGTCCTCTTTAAGCAGAAACACCAGGAATGGCATCCATGAGTCTTAGTATGCAAAGTATTGTCCCATCACTGAGCAGCGCCCCTCCCAGGTTGCAATTTAGAAGGAAGGGTTATCTGATTTGTCCATAATTGGGGTGGCTTGTAAGATTGTCGTCCCCACGGTCCATTAGAATCTCCTTTGCTGTTCAGGGAGGGGCAGGAACGAATGGCTTTTCTCTGTTGCCTCCTTCTTTGATTCTGTGCTAGAGGCCGACACCTGTAAGGAAGGGAAGCAAGTCCTGCATATTGTTCATAAATGCCAATTGTGACCCACGGTTATTTAAGTAATCTTTTGGGTTGGGCTGAAGACAGATGACAGATTCTGAGAGTGTTAAAGACATTCTTTCAGAGGGCATCCTTGCCCAAGAGCCTATGTCCTCATCTCTCGTTGGCCTGCAGTTATCCCTGATCAAACATGCTTTGCAGTTTTTCTTTCTAAAATGCTGCAAATCCTGTTTGACTCGGCTGCATAATGGGATATATGCGCATACTGCCATGAATGCCACTGTCGCAACATTGCCACCATTCATTTTGTTGTTCTTCTTGGCCTTCCCACACTTCTCTGGCTGGCTGGCGGATGACCTGAGGACATGGTGGTGTGGTTTTCAACGCATGGGTCAGGACCTTCACTTGCTAGGTCGCAAGCCCCTTCGGACCGCTGGTGTTTGCTGCTTTGTTTCTAGAAGGACCTGTTGCAAGTGCACACGGAGATCAAGGGGGCTGTAACACACCCCCACGCGCACACGCTGTACATACTTTGCACAGAGCAGCAGGAAGGCAAGACAGGCTCACTGAGTGCTGGAGAGTGTTCCTCCGTGGTTCTGACCCTTGGCTTGTTCCTTGGTATGGGACACCTCCTGGTGCTCAGTTTGGGTGTCTGGTCCCCAGTTTCTTTGTCCTGCCGCTCACGGCCCTGGCCTTGATACTGCCCAGGTCATAACTCTGACTCCCCTCTTCCTGTCACATGACTCTGCAGACTGTGATACTCAGGTCCTGCAGCTCAGTGGGTCTGGCCACCTAGGGAGTTAAAGTTCCTTCTTGGGTTTGAAGAGTTCAGTCCCAGTGTTGTTTCCTTGGCATGACGGCTGTGCCGGTGCTGGAGGGTTTAGATTCATAAGGTACGCTTTGACTTTGGTGAGCATCAGTCCTTCCTTGAGTCAATATTTTACGTTCTTCTATTTGTGTGTGGGGTTTTTTGTATTGGAGCAAGATCCTATTTCTAGGAGGAGGTGATAAAAAGTTATTTGGTGTTGTTTTTCCCTACTGGAGGAGCAGATTTGTTAGTATAAAAAGCAATTCAGCAACCTGAGAGCCTCCGTTTTGATTTCCTCTCTTGCTTTCCTCTCTTGCTGATGCCCCCCGGGCACCGGATAGCCCTTTTGCTTCAGAATTGGAAGGGAAAGTGGTGGAGTGACACCCATTCCTCATTTCTCCTTTCTTCTCCCACCTGTTGGTTTTCTGCCCTGGGGCATGTCCTCAGTCACCACCCAGAGTGCACACAGCAAGCTGTGTAGGTCCTGTATAGTGGAGGCCTTCTGTGCCCTCTCCTGAGCTTGGAGGTCCCGGCCACTGCCTCAGGCACTCCTGCCTGTCCGTGGCTGCCCTAAAGGGCAGTGGATCCCTGCTCCCTTCCTGTGCTTGTCTGATGATCAGCCCCAGCGAATGGATCTCCTGGAGTACCCACAGGACCCGGGTTTAAGCAATACCGGTCTAGTCCATGAGTTGCAAAAGACCGTCCGCCGGAGCCCCGAGCGTCCTCTGAAACTTAGTGGAGGCTCCTGAAGGAAAGGATGACAGTTAGGGGGCATGCTCCTTTGGACAAACTTGCTTCTACTAGAGATTTGTTTTCCTTCTGTGGTGCAAGGTCTGGGGTGAGCGATGAACACATTGCAGGGTAGACTGTGTCCCTCAGGGATAAACAGGAAGCCAACAGCTCTGTCTGGGAACCTGCATACATCCTTGAACAATATAGGCCAGTGGTGGCGAACCTATGGCACGGGTGCCAGAGGTGGCACTCAGCGCCCTCTCTGTGAGCACGCCTGCCATCGCTCCAGCCAGGCCCAGTGTCGAATTCTCTGCCAAATAATTTTAAGTAAATGAAAGCATTTGGGATTGCTTTCCTTACTTTGTTTGGATCATCTTAAGTTAATGTATGAGTGGTTTTTTCTCAAGAAAAACCTCAGTATTCAGGTTAAATTGCCGTGTCGGCACTTTGTGATAAATAAGTGGGTTTTGGATCACAGTTTGGGCACTCGGTCTCTTAAAGGTTCGCCATCACTGCTCTAAGCTGTGGAGTCTTGTGAGCAAAAAGTCTACTCTGTGAGCTACTGACATATCCTTTTGGGGCTGAGAGTTGGGAGAAAAAAATGCAGCGCCTATCGTTGGACACATTTCATGTGTTGTGTACAGAGCCAGTTTTTTTTAATGCATGTCTCTGCTGGCCACAAAGAAGGTTCCACCTAGGGTTGCCAGCTCGGGGTTGGGAAACAACTTGAGCTTTTGGGGGTGGAGCCTGAGGGGGTGGGGTTTGGGGAGGGGCGGGACTCCAATGGGGCGCAGTGCCATAGAGTCCGCCTTCCGAAGTGGCCATTATTTCCTCCAGGTGGACTGATCTCTGTCGCCTGGAGATCAGTTGTGTTCCCAGGAGATCTCCAGCCACCCACCTGGAGGTTATGCAAATGTGAGGTCACAGGATAGGTTGTAAGCAGTGTTCCCTCTAAGCTGAGTTAGTGTGAGCGAGCTCACAGTTTTTTAGTCTCCTGCTCACACATTTTTGTCATAGCTCAGGAAGGGAGGGTTCCAGAGCAAACCAATTTTATGCAGCAGCCAAATCTCCTGCTCACAACTTTAATGCCAGTAGCTCACAAAGTAGAATTTTTGCTCACAGGGCTCCATAGCTTAGAGGGAACATTGGTTGTAAGCAAACGAAAAGCAACTGTGATATTATTATGCAATCCATTCAATAATTGTTATCAAGCATTTATATTACAAATTACAAAACACACTCCAATACAAAATATGCAAATATTCAAAGTGTCCTTGTAAACTACACTGTCCATGCTCAAACTGTCCGTTTTGTAATTTGTACCATAATATAAATGCATGATCATTATTATTGAATAGATTGCATAATAATAGCACGGTTGTTTCTTGTTCACTTACCACCTGGAGGTCGGCAATCCCAGCTCCACCGGATAGGTCCCCGTACTGGAGTAAATGTGGACTTGTGGGCCACCATACCAAACAGGTGGGATCTGCTGCCCCAAACAGTCTCAACATATGCAGGCCCTGCTGTTCTGTGAGCTTCCAAGAAAGACATTCTTCAAGCTTCTTGAGAGATTTCCCCACATTACTAAATTACTCTCGTGCTGTGAAAGTTGTCATACTACTTGACGTCAGTCTGTTGTTTCAGTCTGTTGCTTCAAAGCATATTCCTTTCTTCGGCCTGTTTGAGTGGGTGTTGGCACACCTGCTTCTCACTCTGCTCACTGCTGCAGCATCCCCCTTTCCTCTGTCACATATGCAGAAAAGCACCGTGGTCATTGCACATGTGGCCTGGACATGCCCTCCCTCCCCCCATTGTTCCTTTCTCAGCCAGTGTTCCCTCTAAGCTGAGTTAGTGTGAGGTGGCTCACGGTTTTTTAGCCTCCTGCTCACAAATATTTGTCTTAGCTCAGGAAAGACGGCTCCAGAGCAAACTAATTGATGCAGTAGCCAAATCACTTGCTCACAACTTTAATGCCGGTAGCTCACAAAGTGGAATTTTTGCTCACAAGACTCCACAGCTTAGAGGGAACATTGTTCTCAGCCCAGCCATACAGTAGGGATACATTACAGCGGTGGCTCTGGGTGACGGAAAGGGCTCTTTAGGCTGCGATCCCACGTGCCTTTAGATCCGACACAGGCGCGAATGCCTGACAGATCTAAGGACCACACACGGGCGGAAATGCCTGACAGATCTAAGGGGAGCGATCAGACAGCAGCATCTGGGAAGCGACCCGCAGTCGTCGGCAACCCCTGCTGCTCCGCTGCAGAA